GGGGGGGGCGGTTAAAGGGGAAAAAAAGAGGACTTTCAGGCACTCCTCTCCTCCATTGTGGACTTGTTGCTGGGGATGGGCTGGGCTGCGTACACACTTCTGCTGTGGCTGTCCACGCTTTGAAAGTAGGGGTGACTTAACGCAGTGAAGGCCGATATTCTCCTGGACGGGTTGAAGGTGAAGAATTGCTGCGGGGAGGGAGAGGAAAAGAAGATAATGAGAGACCACCAAGTATAGATGCTTGTTTACATTTCTAGGTTGAATAAAATATTGCGTGCAGCTCGGTTCCCACGCCGTTTTAAAATCTAAATCGATGCTCCAAAATGCAATAATCCTGATGAATGATCGATTATATTTGTGCTTTTATAAACAAGCCGAACTACAAGTTGGGTATAAATCTGCTCGATGGTGAAGTAAGCGCTTTGCTTCATGCATTTATTTTCCACACATAAGGATTTCAGGCTCCATGTTCAGAAAAAACAAGGAGTTAGAAGATATAAAATGTATAAAAATAAAAAAAAAACACCAATAAAATGGTACAAGGTCGTCAAGGTTACTGACAGAAGTTGTTTTGTTAGCTTAGCTCCTCGTAGCGCTTTGGCACATAAATAAATGTGCACGATGCCATAAAGGTGACAGTGATGAGCAAGTGACAGCTTTAAAAACATTTTCCATGCAATCTTTTGGGGACACACATGAGAGTTACACTACAAACCATTAACAAGGCCCGTCCCTGCTCGTCCATGTCTGGAACTAGGTCTTCTATTGGTTTCGGGGGCCGGGGTGTGAAGGCACTCTGTGGCAGGGCTACTTCCTGGGGCCAGTCTTCTGCCGAGGGTACCCCAACAACACTGTGGAATCATACAGATCATCAGTGTCTTCATCATCGGCAATGGGAAGCATTCACCACTTAATTCCAGTTCAGAGCATTTTTAAGGATTATCCATGAGTGTTGGTAAAGACTGGGGGGGCACGAATACATGCACCCCAGAAAAGCAGTGTGGGTTCATCTGATGGGTTTTTCATTAATTAGAAAAACAGTAGATGAGTGCATGTTCTGCCCTTAATGTTTAGGCAAAGGTTTGACTGAATCTTCCAAAATTCCACTGAGTTGAAAGAAAATATAACCGAGCCTGAGGAGAAATGGAAAACAAGAGTAGTCATTACTTACTCAAAAATCTTTCCAAGCTGATCAACATCCGAGTTTCCTCTAAACAGCGGCCTAGAAAACAGAAATTATAAAAAAGGTTAGTTTAGTTTCTACATATTTTGTTGCAAAAACAAAACAAAACCCAGAAATGCAGAAAAAGTAAAATGTAAAGATTCGGTTCTCTCTTTTGTAACCTGCTTTAGATAGGAGTCATTTTCCCATGGTACGCTGTAAGACCAACAGCCCTAACATATAAGCTTTTGGCTCGAGGAATGTGGGACTCCGATGTGAACGTTTTGAAGTAGCCACACGCTCGCAGCTCCATCCCAGGGAACAGGGATTGTGGAGCAGTGTTGGTGGTGCTGCTGAGGATGGGGAGGGAAGGAAACGGGGGATGAAAGGAGGGAGGAGAGCGGCAGCAGGGCTGCTGGTGGTTCCTGTGGCTTTGGGCAGTCTTCGGGTGCCCGTGCTTGGCATGGGATCAGCTCAGATTCCAGTAGTCATCATCAGCACAAGCCTGGCAGTCGCCACACGGGACAGAAAAAGCCTTTTTATCCCGTGTGTGTGTGTGTGTGTGTGTGTGAGAGAGAGTGCGAATGTCTGCTTTTGCTCTTGCTGACTGAATGCGTGGAGGAAATTGGGAGGAAAAGGCGTTTGAAAGAAAAGTTGGATTATCCTAACAGAGAAAGAGGTATAGGAGCTGGAGCTTCCTGTCAAAGTTCCTCTGAGGGGAAATAAGGAGGTCCTGTTGTCACAAGAGGGGACTTGTTTAACATTGCACACACCACCACTTTTAGGCTAAACGAGATTAATATTTCTAAGTGTTCCTCACAAAACGAACACACAAGGCTCAGAAGGGGAAACAGCTCTCTCTCTGTTTCTTTTTTAAAAATACATTCCACTTCTTTACTGTGTTTGCTCACCAGCAGATGTCAATGTAGTGCCAGGGTGGTATCATATAGATGCGCCTTTATGCATGCCTGTCTGCATTTTGTATCCAGGCCTTAGTACACCTCAAGTGCACCCCACTTAACTGAACTCAACAGAGACTGGTTTAGCCACCATGTGCTCCTTGTGCTTTCCCACTTGCAGGAAGCTTTGCATAGCTTACACCCACACTTTCCTACAGTGGAGACACTGGGGATATTAGTCACACAAAAGGTGTTTGGCACATTTTTACTGTGACAGCAGACTCCCTGTCACAGGCTTAAGCTTGGAAGTGGAATTAAGATCTTAGTTTCTTTCCAGTGTTCAGAAATGGTGTCCTTGAGTAACGGATGTCTCAAAAATGATTGCATATGCAGGTCTTTTAGGGCAAGGCACCGCACTGAGAACTTTGAAAGGCATGTAAGATCAGACCAAACCAGTTTCTGACTGTTGCAAACGAAAAAAAAGAGAAAAAAAAAAATCACCTACAGCAAAGTTATCATGCCAAAACAAGTAGGGCTGATAATTCCGAGAGGTCCATTTTTAAACCTGGAGTGGTTTGTTGGTTTGTTGAAGGGGGATAACTGGATTCACACAGAGCTGGCCACTGGCATGCACACACAGTCAGCAGCTGAGTGCGAGTGCTCGCGCTCTGGCATCGTTTCCCACCCTGAGATTTGCACGTACAAATCCCAATGCCCATGCACAACGCCACACAAGTGGCTGCAGTGAAAAGGCCGAGACCGAGTCGGGACAAGCAGCTGAGTCACGCATCCTTTAGTGCCAGCACGGCGTGGTCCCACATTCCTTTGAGAGAACCTCTGGAATGCGCGTGTGAATTCGCATGTTTACACGTGAGCGTCTCGAACTATCTAAGTGGGAGCTGGAAAGAAATGAGGTGTGTGTGTGTTGGACTGCGGACTTTTCACGCAGGGTATCCCGCGCTGTATGCAAGGGTGTGCTTTTGAGAATTTATCAATCGAGTTCCAAACTGTGAGAAAGTCAACACGGATGTGGGGCCTCTCCCGGGCCATTAACGAACCGCGTTCAACCTTTTTGGTTAGGGGAATGTCAACAAGCACAAGCTCTCTCCAAAATTCATTCGAACTGTGACTCACCCAACACCATCCCAGCCATGCAGATGCAGACTTGTATAATATTTGCTCAAATTCCTTTGAGAGCAACTATTCTCACTACAGTACATAGTCATTAAAAACACTTTTAATGACCATGTACTCTAATAGCATGTTTGGTGGTGAAAGTGAAGAAGAATGTGCTTATGAGTCATGAAACCTTTGAAGTCTCATGACTCAAAGAAAGACTTCACATGTTTCTGGCCCGAGACGTGACATGGTGTGCCAAAAATGGGGGTCATGGCTGCTCGTGGGGGGTTTTAGGCTTACTTTCAAAATTACATCTAACCTATGAACTGACTGTTTCTTCTTCACTCAGCCTTTTTCACTCTGTGCTTATAAACTACTCTGCATTTAAATCATTAGTTATGAATCTCTGGTGTTCTTCCACAGGGCATCTTAGCCAGTCGAGTCAGATGGCTGGCCCTCTCTGAGACAGTTTGTGTTGGAGGTTTCTTCCTGTTAAAAGGGAGTTTTTCCTTGCCACTTTCTCTAGGTGCTTGCTCATAGAGGTTGATTGTTGGAGTTTTCCTCTGATATTGCAAAGTGAAGATGCTACAATAATGCAAAGTCCAACCCGACATCTTGCAAACCAAACAAAATCGAAGTAAGCGACAGAAAACAGGACCAATTATTTTTCCTTTGTTTTCTATCATATATGTACAGACGGTTTAGTCCTGCAGTGTAGATGCTCACAGTGGTGAGTATAAACCAAAAGATCAGGGTTAACAGCTCAAAATGCTTCAGCTAATCTTTTTTACTACTCTTGATTCTATGATGTCAGAGCTCTTTATGTCGTCACAACTCTGGTTCTGAGCAGTCGCTTTACCTGACCAACTATCTGTTTCCGAGGGGCACCCAATCAGAAGAAAGCTTACTTAAAGGCTGATGGACGAATGAAGGGGGCTCCAACAAGTTCTAGTATAAGACAAATTTGACTTTCAATCATGCAAAGATTTTCTCTAGTGGAGCAAGGAATAAAAATGTGAAGCTAGCAATGAGCATAACAGATCTCCTTTAAAAGTGGTAAACAATTATTCTGAAAAACAGCTTAATTGTGAGCATAGAGGTCTGCTTTTGTGCCCGTGAGCTGTCAGCATTTCTAATCTCAATTTCAATATAACTGCAAAACTAACAAACACTGCTTTCTCTCAATATCTTGCTTTCTTTCTCTTCTCCCAGGTGCCCTTTAATCTCTGACAGGTGGCCTTTTAAAAGCCATCTTAATCACCCGCTGAGACTGAGCAGAGAAGTGCGTGTTCGTGCGCGTGTTTGTGGCCATCAAAGAGCTTTGCCTTACCTTCTACCTTAAAGCAAAGTTGGGCAGATGCCAGATTTTGAAAATGAACTACACAAACAAACACACTTCAAAGTTTATTGTGTCAGGGTGCGAGGAGATGTACTGCATTCAACTGCTCACTCTGATCAGGGCTGCAGACAGAACCAGTCTGTGCTTTTAAATGAGCACCATATAACACAAGGACAGACCTTTTGTACACAGATTAAGCACACATTGTTTCTACTATTTGACTTAAAAGTGTTTGATTACAGATCAAGATCAGTTTTTTCACGACTGTAAAAGACGCATTGATGGGAAATAAACTTTGCTTTGTTCTCTTCATTTAAAGCCTGACCTTCAATACAAAATTCCAGCTTGACCTTGCCACAAGTATGGAAAGTACCATACATCACTGACATTGAATGAAGTAGTTACGAGCATGACTGTGAATACATTACCTCCAAATCTTATTCGAAATTCACCCATAAACTGCTGAAAATATTTGAAATGCGGTGCACAGACACAATTTCTGAACGCCAATGACGAGGATAACGTTTTATACCTGGCGGCACAAACTGAAAACCTGTAAATGCTTCACCTGCTTTGCATGATTCGGAGTATGAAATAATCCTGCTTATTTTTGGACTGTGGCCCCCTTTAATTCATCACCGGTCTCCGTTCCCCCACCCTTCAAGGCCGACTATGAGAAACTTTTGACAGCAGAGGGGGACTTCTGTGACCACAGCTGTGTCATTCAGATGACCATACAAGGGATCTCTGCTCTCACCGAAACCTCTGCATACGCTGACCTCATGAAACTTTGGCCATGTTTCACGATTACACATCATTATGAAAGTGCACGTATGGCGTGTGTATGCGCTTTGTTTTTTGATAAATATATGAACAACAGGAAAATAAGGAAATTTGAAAAAAGTTTGAAAGATGTCAAATGACGTGGGAACGTAAGTTCGAAGAGAAGCTATACTGTGAAGTGGTCTCGATTTAAATGTTGCAAACTAAGAGAATGAAACCTAAATCCTAATTAGAAAACTAAGTATCAAAGCAGTCTCTCACAGTCCCAAAAGACCCATCTTTTTGTCCTATGCGTGAAAACTTGTAAAGCATCATTAAAATACGGTCACCTGCCAAGATTTAAATAGCCGGCAAAACTTGATCAAACAACTCTTAGATCAAGTTTCATCACGGCACCATTTGTCAACAAGATACTCCGAAAGTGCCTCTGCGTGTTTTTGTGCAGCACGACTAGATGTTAGCCTTGGGTAACCTTTTGATAGAGGAACCTATACATTCCCATCAGGTCCCAAGTACAGAGCGTGGGTTGCTGTGTGCGGCCTTGCATGCTGGGGTAAGGAGTCGTTTGGGGAAGGAAGCAGGGCTGCTTCTCTTGGCACTTAGCCCTACCTCAGAAAGACTGTTATTATCTACTGTAGAACACACCACTTCAGCCTGGCGCGGCCTCTCTACTCTCAATTAAAGCATACATTTTATACATACTATAGCACCTTAAAAACATTAAATCAACGTCGTCTTAATTTGACGAGGATAAAACTGCATCTTTTTGCCCCCGTCTTTTCTTTCTTTCAAAAGACCAAAAACAGGCAGTTGTAACTCTTTTTTTTTTTTTGGGTGAAAACTGTCCGTTATTAGCTTGGCTCGCCAGCATGAAGTTCGTTAGACCACAAACTGACAAATACCTACACCAAGTAGAAGTAGAAGTAGAATCTAGACTTGCATGCTGCAACCACAGCAGACAGCAGTGTTACTGTAATGGCTTGATAAGCCAACCGAAATGTGATTCCTCGCTGCTCATAACGCATCTGACAGGTGTCATTTGAGGAAAAGATGACTACAGTAAGAAACTCCCAAATAACCGATTGTGACGAGTGATTTCAGTTCGTGTTTTTCAAGTAAAATTAGAGCAATGATACAAAGGACGCCCGTGGCCCTCTTCGTCGAGCTGCTCCTTTGTGAGCGATCGTAAATACAACAGTCAAAGAAAACTTAAAGCTTTTTCATCTGTTTACATGGGAACATTTTTATGAGTATTGACACAAGGGGTAAAAATCAAACTTGGGTCACAGATAATAACTGGATTTTTGAATTTATTTTTTTTAAACTGTAAATGTGGTCAACCCACCAGTAAAGAAGACGTTTTGATGTCTTATACTGCCCCAAAAATGTGTCTATTATATTATTTAATTCTTACTATTACTGCAACTTGTATGATAAAATGAACAGTCAGATAATTTATGAGGGGGGCTACAGAGACTTTTTTTTTTTTTGCCTCCGTGACTCAGTTATCAGATTTTATTGTAAACAAGTATGAAGGAGTATTTAATATTAATGACACAATGACTTGGTTCCAGTGCCCCATATCACTTCTCATGTCTGTAACCTCCCCAAGTGATTCGGTTAAAGTGCTGTGCTCACTGAGGAATGTCATCATTACTCAATCATTACTTAACAACACAGTAAAGGGACTTTGGTGGGTATTTTCCCTTCCACACTGCTTTGGCGTAACCCAAATAAGAGAAATTACAATAGCTATCAAGAGTTTGTTGGAACAGAAATAAAACTTCATTAGTCTTGGGTTGGACACCCTTTTCCCTTCAGAAATGCCTTAATTGCTTGTGGCACAGATTCAACAAGTGGCTCTAAAAATTCCTCAAAGTTTTTGCTCCACGTTGACATTACGGAGTCATTCAGTTGGTGCAGATTTGTCGGCTGCACACACACGAGGTTAATCTTCCGCTGCACCACATGCCAAAATGCTGCATTGGATTGATATCTGGTGTCTATGGAGGCCATTTGAGTACAGTGAAATCATTGTTATGACGATATGAGCTTTGTAACATAGCACTTTATCTGCCATCAGAAGATGGGTACTCTGTGGTCTGTGGTCATAATATTCAGGTAGGCTGTGGCATTTCAACCATACTTATTTGGCATTGAGCATAATTTTAAATGGCACAAAAATATCCCACACACCATCACACCATAACCAGCAGACTAAACCTTTGATACTAGGCAGGATGGATTTATGCTTTCATGTTCACCCCAAATTATGACGCTAACATCCGAATGCTGCAGCAGAAATAGAGACTCATCAGATCGAGCAACATTTTTCCAATTATCTGTGGTTTAAACTTGGTGAACTTGTGTAAACTATAGCCTCAGTTTCCTTTTTTTGGCTGAATAGGTGGTCTTCTGTTATTAAAGCTCATCTGCTTTCAGATTGGACATGTTGATCTGGTCGTCTTGACCGTGTCAACACGTCTAAAAGCACCGATTCGCTGCTATGTGATCGGCTAATTCGTATAAACAAGAAATTAAGCAGGTATACCCAATATAGTGGCTAGAAGTCTCTATACCATGCAACATCACATCTTGGCAACAGGAAAGCGGGTCATCTATAAGGTCTACATGGCCTTAAGCACAGCCCCGAATCCCAAATTGTCTCTTATATAACCGTTAGCCTAAGTGTGTATATCACAGATAAAGACTTACAGTGCATTGAATAAGGTGTTGCACAGATGTGTGTGCAAATAGGTGATGTGGTTAGTAAGACCCAGCAAAGTGCTATTAAAAAAAGATACCAGTGAAAACAATCAAGACAACATGACGCTCACAAAGAGTCTGAATTTGAAGACCAAAGTCTAACATGTGTTTAGACTTTACCGCCAAGGTGCGTCAACACTAAACCTCTGAATGAAATGTGATCATGTGACTCGGGAAGCATTTGTGAAAACTTCGACAGAATCCTTCCACATTATGTTTATTGTATGGTACACTGCTCAACAGTAAAAGTACCAGAATCAACATTAGTGGAAGAAACAAAGGAATATGAGAAATGCTTAGAGACTTTAACTGAAGTTCAAAGTCAGTCCAGATTTAAACAAGTATAAAGCCCAGATAGCTTTGCCCATAGGCCTCACCTTCTCCTGAACATCTCAGCGAAGATGCAGCCGACACTCCACAGGTCCACCGGTGTAGCGTAGCTTGACTGGAGCAGCACTTCTGGGGCTCTGTACCACAGCGTCACCACCTGTAACACAGCAGAAAACCCGTCAGGTTTTACTGCACAAAATACACACAAAGACACACAAGTCACTAATGCACAGGGTTAATGCTTCTCTGCCCCCATCTTGAGCTTACGTAAGACATGAAATCATATCTGGCAGGACAGGCCTCCCTGTTCCCATTCTGGTGTACCCACTTCACACAATCTTTCCACATCAATCCACCGGGGAAACTCAGAACTGTACTTTTATTTACAATTGCAGCGTGAACGTCAGTACAGAGGAGCACCTATTACAAAGACGCACAATACATGTCTCAAACCTGGCAGACAACATGTGCATGGGAAATGAAAAGGGGGTGATTAACTGATATCAACCGCCCCGCTCTACCCCTCCTTCCTGTCAAAATAGAGAGAGAGAGGAAAAAAAGAACACTTCCTGTCTTTTATCAGACTACCCTACATCCACCTGAAGCATCAACAGCAGCCATTTTGTGCTACTTCAAACTAAGCATGTTTTCCAAATTTGTCCCTGTAACTCTCCCTGGGACCTCGCAGTTTGTGTGTGTGGAGCCATGAGCCTGCAGGAAAGCAGCAGCATTGTTAACAGCTACAGTAGGGAAAGCCTCCAGACAAAACTCAGTGACCCCTAGTAAGAGAGTGGACGGGTTCCAGGTGCTTTCCTAAACTCCAGATTTTTCCTACAGCTTTTGGCTGCAGTTCCCCCTCCAGGCACTGCAGGCTGCTTATCTGGATCTTCAAGTCAGGGACGAATGTATGTAAGCAAAGAGGATGCACTGTCACGTAGATATATTTATAGACTTGGCTGGCTCTGCACAAGTATGAAGGAACAATCATTGGATTCTCCCCCTTTTCTTATAAGATCTTATTCAGTCTTAAAATATGCTTGAATAGGTAATTTGAGAGGAATGATCTTCAAAAGAAGTACGCAGTTAAATATAAACTATTAGTGAATGAACTGGGTCATTGTTTATGTGACCGGCACAAGTTGCTTGTGTGTTTCTGACTTGCAGGATTGTGGTGAAAGGAAACTCATGTTGGGTCTGATGCTCCACACTTTGCTTTCAGTATTTTTCAAAAACCTCTGAAACTGCTCTAAAACTTTCAGACACTCACAGCAACCAGGTGACACTTTCACAGACTCTGATTTGGATGATGAGGGTTTATTACTGGAAAGCTAATGAAATCCTCATAAGTCCCAGGTGGGCTTTCAGTTGATTGCCAACTAGCCTAAATTACATCCAAAAACTCCACAAAACATGCTACAAGCAATCAGACAGTATTAGTTTAAAGTACTGCAGTGACTAAAGGGTTTATGGTTGCTGGGCTGGTGTCTATTTGCATAGATCTTCACCTGCACAGAAAAGAAGGATTGTGGAAATGTAATCAAAGCACGTTCAAGATTAAAAATGCATGCATTATAAGCAGCAACAGTGGCTGCAGAGGACAGTTTTCATTGTTTTCAAGCACTCGGTTTCACTTCAATATTTAAACTTCTTTCTCTGTTATGTCTTCTCCACAGCAGGGAGGGCCGGGGGTGGTAGCTAAAGGGACCAACAATAGCACAAACACAAACAAACACAGGTAGCCCAGATTACAGTTTGCTCTACATATGTGACAATGCCATCGGGTGCACATACACAACTACGAAGATAAGGGTGTGCAAAGGTCTGCAGAACACATGTGTAGGGGTTTCCTTGTGCAGTGCTGCGTCAGGAGTCGCAGGTAGTGTACAACTGGATTTAAATACATTACTGGCAGCCTAAATAAATATTCTAGGCCAATCAATTACCAGGTCATCCGGCCATGGAATAGGAATTCCACGGAAATCACTTTATATATGACAGTGGCACGAGAAGTTGTCCTGGATATGTGAGGTGAACTGAGCAAGTGAGCAAATCTCCAAGCCGACAAGTGAGATTGATAAGAGGAATAAAAACCTGAGCCGCATTTTTTCTAAAGTGAATGAGACTATTAATAGAGCCGGGGGCCGCATTTTGCAGATGTGTGATACTTTCTCATCTCTACTTCCTGCTTCAGTGGAAATAGGGCGGAAGTTGAGGCTAGTTGGCTGAGATCCGTCGGGCGAGTCACGTGACCAGAAATGAGACACGCATCTGCCAAGTGAGCACACTAAGTGTTAGGGTCATTGACGAATTTTAGAACAGTGAAACCTCAAAGAAAATCATGAATGGAAGTCGCACAGCTTCCCATAGAGCCGGGCTACATACTTTCATTTTAATCAAGGACAGGACTCAACACAGCATTGCTACATTTTTGTTGGAATTTTTTTATTTTTTAAAAGAGATTTTAAGTTTGCAGCAAAGTACTGAGCTCAATCTTCAGTTACAGCATATCTGCATCTGGCGCCTATGGAGATATTGCCATGAGACGTTTAAATGCAGGTCGCCATTTTTAAACATGGATAGATGCTTAACCGACAAATGGCCCGCTCCACGTCTTCCTCTTACGCTTGCAGTTGCAGGCTCAAATGCATATGACCTCAGTCTATTGCATGGATTTGTCACCCTGCAAAGTCAAAAGTCAGGACTCCAATATACACGTATGCACGCACGCACACATGCACACAAACTCACACTCTCACAAAGCCTTCTAGGAAGAACCACAGACCTAGAGCTCGGGGTATATCCGCCTCAGTGAAATGCAGTTATTCGAAAACCCAGCCACAACTGCAGATTAAGGCATATACATAACACATGCATGCACTTGCAGACACACCGGAAGATAGCTGTATTAAGCTTTATTTCAAATATGAAATTACACCCCAGCCACTTGCAAAATACTAAACCATTTTTGTAGCCGTGTATTTATGGCCTTGCATGCCTGCACTGAAGGATAAGCCAGCATTTATTCTAGATTTGTGTTTTTTGTCAATGGTCATCATAAAGGAAACTAAAACCAAAAGCAGATGATTTTTCAGTACTTTCCAATTTCCCTTACTCCATCTTTGACACTTAAATTTATTCCTGCTCAAGACATAAACAAGTCACATATTTAAAAACATATTTATAGATCATTTTCATCCATATTCTTTGCACTAGATAGTGTTTAGAGCACCAGCTCCCTTTTCTCCATACATCCTCCCTCATCTCTATAAAAAAAGCCCATTTCTCTGTTTCTGTAAGTCTATAAAACACATGTGTCTAAAATGCAGTACAGCCCAGACTTAAGTTGGAGAACCTACTGTGTGCATGAGTGGGTTTAGATCACACACAGTTTGACACTATGCATGGAATGCTCAAGCCTGTTGCATCCAACCCCTTGAAAGAAATAAAAAACAACAACTCATCCCTACAATGCTTTGAGTCGAGGCCTAAACACACAACTAAATAACTGTTTTCACAGAGATGATTATAACAACATGTGTCTGCTACAAAATGAAAAAAGGACATTCCACACTTGTAATGTTCCCTTTTGCCCCCCCCCCCGCAATCTTCTTCCGACCACGTTTGCATTCCTCCTTCCTTAGTCTCGCTTTCTCACCCTTCTTATTCTCTGTTCTGCTTCACAAATACCCTCATTATACACTCCTGCTCTCCTTTTTCTGCACGGGCTACATGAACACACACAAACTCATGCACGCAGTATAACGAAAAGTCAAAAAAATGGGTCGGTCGTTTTGCATTTTCAATCTGCCTGCGTCCATCTGAAACCCTTCTTCGCCTATGGCACGGAAACAGAAAACCCAGGAGGTGGTCAGATAAAGCCAAATGAGAAAAAAGACAGAGCAAGCTAAGAGCAACACAGCGAGAGAGAGAGATGTAGTGAGTGCACGAGGCTGACTCCAGATTAAAGGACAACATTCTCGGAATTCCTTTCTGCTGAGACCATCGTCCTCAGCCCTGCCTGCTGCTCTTTCCTCCCGGCTCCTCATCAGGGAGGAAATGGCTTCTCCTACCCCCGAGGACCTCCAGACCTCCTAGGTCAGACCTCCAAGCCCGTCCGCCTTGCAACATCCGTTCCAGTGCTGCCAGTGCATGCTGCATGTACGGGGGGGGCTTGTATGACAATAAGGTGCATGCACGTGAGCAAGGGTGGGGTTGGGAGTAGGGGCATTTGGTTTGAGCTATGTGTGAGTATTTGCATGCGACTTAGAGAGCACCTGCTTTAGCTTGGATGAGTATGCTTCAGTGCCAAGAACCTTCTTGTGCTAGAGTGTGTAACTGCAAATGCATGCAAGTCATCTGCAGCATGTGTTTGATGTTTAAGGGATAAGTCAGTTTATTACAGCCTGGGCTTTATTTTTCCCAGATTAGTGCATCTTTGTTGTCAGTGATTAGTCCGTGTGTTTACCAGTTAACTGAAGCAACATTTCGAAATGGCAACTTTCCATCGAATCAGAAATATATAACATCTGAGTAACAATTATGAACAATGAACTCTGGGACAGGCCATCACCCCCCACGCCATCACGGTGCCGAAAATTCAATCCGAAATTTATCAAGGTAGCTTTCAAAATAAGGTCAAAGTGACTTTTTGGTAAACAACAGCAACTCTTATCTGAAGTAAATCTACTGCAGAATGGCTTGAAATTGGGTGCGGGGCAATCTCAATCTTAATCCAAAAAGAGATGCGGTGATTTCCCCTAATGGAAGCTGCTCATACCACACGTCACAATATCGCTGAGCTGAAGGATGTCTTTAAAAGTATGTTCCAAAAGTCTGCCAGAATATTGTGCAGGGTCTGCACTTTTGTTAAACACGTGTGAAACCTACGCTCGCCTCTTTGCCAATGTCGTTAGAATCACAAATATTGGCTGCGGTTGCACAAAGTAACAAAATAAGCAATAAACACTATAGCTCGGCTAGAAAAACAGGACCTACACTGTAATAACCAGAGTCAGTCATTCTTTTAGGTGAGCAGAACGTTTTTTTGAACTATTGGAGACCATATGCTTCATTCCTCATCCCATTCTTCTTCAAATCTCCAGACGTCTTCCTGTCAGTCACCGTGACCTGATGTCATAAGGGGCTGCAGCGCCAGAG